TGTCCTTTACCATTCCCACAAAATAAAAGCCTGAAATTCTCCCACAGAGTTCTAGGATGCTTATTCATTCATTTGGTCAACAAATATTTATTAAATACCTATGCTGTACCAGGCACTGTTTCAGATGGCAAAAGAGAGAGAAGCTCAGCCTTTGTGGATCTTGCATTGTGGTAGGGGAGAAAGATAATAAGCAAATAAAAAATATACAGATTATAATATTTGATTAGAAAACTGTAAAGGTAACTGAAACAGCTTACAATATCTGCATCTATCAGCCATTTAAATTTTAAGTGAGGTATAAACCGAAGAGCTGGTGAACTAAATAAGAGAGTAAGTAGTAAAAACGAAAGGGCAGGAAAGGTGAGATTTTGGGAGACTTTCTGTGCCTTGTTTTATTCTTTGCCTTTAAAATTGGAATGCTTGCTCAGCCTTCTTATTCTCAGTAACGAAGCAGGGCCTCTGTAAGAGAACTTTATTCCTTCCCTTGTGCAAACAGGAGCAGGAGTGCCCTGAATGCACAGTGGGGGAATGGGCGATAAGCTTCAGGAAATGAGTTCTTTAACAAAAATCAAAAGGAAGAGGGGTGGCCTCAGCTCACTGCCTTCAGGTGCAATGACCTTAATATTTCAGACCGTGGGGAAGAGGATATCTGACATGCTATAGGCAGTGTCTGCCAGTGAGAAGTCTGAATTTCCAGACGAGTTTGGAATAATGCTGGTTTTTCAATTAAAATAATTCTTCGAGACCCACCAAAAATGGGCAGAGAGCCAGAGCAAAGGACATTTAAAAATTCGTTCACATTTTAGTGTATTGTATGCATCAACCTTATTTGGTGCAATTTCTGCAATTCTGTACAAAATAACATCAAGTTCATTTTTCCTCCCAAACTCACATTTTTAAAATCACAAAATAGTCTTTTTAAAAAACAAATGGGGTGGTAGTTGCTTTGAGGGAGTTTTGACTGGAAATAGAGAACAAGGGGATGTTCTGGGGTGATGCGAATTTTCTAAATCTGGATCTGAAGACTTGCTAAATGGGTGAATATAGATGTAAAAAATCTTCACACTATAACTTAAAATTTGTGTATTTTTACTGGATTTAATGTACACTTCAATGGGAAAAATACAAAAGGAAAAAAATAAGTAAAGGGAAAATTTAGATATTATACCTCCTGATGCATAATAAACTAGATATCATAAATTATGGGCTCTGAGGCTCATGCAGGGACTGATTAGATCTTTACAAGCACTTCCCATTTTCTCAGCCAAAAAAAGATTTAACAAACTGTGGAGCTGTTACCTTCCCTCCTTATTATTGGCACCCATTGGGCTCCAATACAAAACCTATCTAAACTTGGACTTGGGGGGGGGCAAGGGCAACATACGTAACCTAAACATCTGTACCCCCATAATATGCTGAAATAATAAAAAAAAAAACCTATCTAGAAAGGAAATTAGAAAAACAAATAAGGAAGAAAGAAAATACCCACTGATTTCTTAGCTGTGACAAGATTTGGGGATAGTGTTCTGCTTGTTGGGAATTTCTCTCAGTGGGGTCTTTCGTGCTGTTAATAGTTTTGACTCCCAAAATGCTGAGTCCCCTTAGGGTTATTAGATCTGCCACAAAGGCAGGAATAATTGTGTGTGAGGCTTCTGCTCCCTGAATAAATGTGAAAAGTTCACTTTACAAAAGAATCAAATTCAGCAAGCCTATGATTAGAAATATTAAAATTGGGTTGTTTTCAATAGCAAACAATATATAGCTGAATTCCATATTGCATGTTCTTCTAAGCTGTATTCATTTCCACTATAATTATTTTCTAATTTCTCAAAAGTAAACTTTTCAAAATCATAATGAAATTTCCAGATTTTCTGATTTTAATTCACTTAAACAAATTATCCACATGCTCTCTGATTATTTTTGTATAATAAACATATTTTTTAATTTTTATTTTTGGAATTATAAATTGACAAATTATAGTTGTATATGTTTATGGGGTACAAAAAAACATAGCCAGGTCTGGCT